TTCAGCCCTCTCTAAGCGGTTTATAGAATCAGCATATTGCCCCCAACAACAATCCGGGTCATTTTACCCACCTCGGAAGGCTGAGTCAACCCTGAGCCGGTGAGATTTGAACAGCCGAACTGCAGTCAGCTGAAGTAGCCTGCAGTGCTGCATTTAACCACTGCGCCACCTCGGCTCTTAAAAGCCACATGTTCAATGGAAGATCTTTGGTGCTTCGTGTTGCAAGAGGACAGGCACAGAGGATTGTACCTGCGAGAGTGAGCAAAACTGTTGTGCTTGTATCAGTGCCAAACAGGAGGAGTAACAGGAAAAAGCATGGTATATAAGAGCTATCTGTGATTATGGCTCTGCACTATTTGTGAACCAGGCTATGGAACATGGCTTGTTCCATAAATCGTAGTGTATCAATCTTGGCATTTTGATGAAAATAAGGCTCAAAGCTACTGCATTCTGTTAAATGTTGCCTTCCCAGGGAAGGGGAACTAAACCACTTTAAAACAAATATCAAAATAGAAGAGGATCCCTTTTTTCCACACACACTTTTCTCTCAAGTCTCCTTCCTTTGATTCAAGCTGCATAAATGATTAAATGTCTCCAGAAATCCCTTCAGGGAAGGCCTTTGTGGCATAGATTAGAGGTGAATAGGGCTGGAGCTGGAAATCTGGCTTCTTTATGTCTGCCCTTTAAATAAACCCATTTCATTGTATTGGAAGATAGTGTTTTCTCTCCTGGAAGATAATTTCTCTCTTGGAAAATAAAAGGAATGTGAAGCACATGATGCGTTTTGCCTCGGGCAGCAAAATTTCTCCAGCCAACTGAAGGCAGAAGTATTTAACTGAAGTAAATTATCATTAGGCCAGAGATGGACATCCTTGGCCAACATGTGCCTGTAGATACTATCTTGGCATCCATCCAGCAATCTCACTCACCTAATTTTTGATAGGCTCCTTGAATCATAAATAAATGAAATGGCAGAATGCCAGACTTCAAATTCATTTTCATTTCTAAGAACATCTCTGGGACCCACATGGGCCTCAAAAGCAATTGGTTAAAATGTGTCATGGCTGCAGCCTTTTTTGAAATTTGCAAATACGTGGAAGGGTGACAGAAGGCATCTAAGAGCCAGGAAGCTAGTTTGGGGGTACATCAGTCTTGTGGGGGTGGTCATGTGGACCGCATCAGAAAAAAAGGACATTTTCCCTCAGCATTTTATGAAAATAGTCGCAAGAGGGTCTCTTAATTCCAACTGTGGCCCCCAAGATTTTCTGTTCTTCGTTTAATATGTATATTTTGTGTTACTCTGATGGAAGATGGGACAAACAGAAAAGGTATGGGGATGAATTCCTCTTTATGAAACCATAAAGTCCATCGTGGCACGACAAAACCGTGCTCGACTAAAGCGCGCCCGATTAAACCGCGTCGCTGACGTCATCAACAGGGCGACAACAGCCAGCGCGGAGAA